TCTCAGCCAGTACTCGCAGTTCTCAGTGGAAAAATTGCTCGACCAGTTTGCGCTTTCAAAACATACAGGATTAGAAAAGCCATGTAAGTTAAATTGTGGCACCTGTTTTGTATTGCATTTAGGTTTTTATGATGAAATTCATGTAAGTTGTGCACCACTGGAGGATTTATTAAACCTGCCATGAGGTGCTTTTATGTAAAGTTGATGAATTAGGCATAACTAATATTTTGGTTTGTAATATACCTCTTGCCTGCTCGTAAGGTAACTTTCTTAAAAACAAGTAATCAATAGGTAAATGTCTGGCAGACTGGGGTTTGTTATATCAATCTTCTCATGATTAAGTGTTGATATATATCTTAGAGCATTGGTTCCTAATTTTTTTCATTCTGCAGCCCTCGGCCAATATATTATAGTCTGCGTGGCCCTGCTCAGTGACTAATTTTTTCTGATTAAGTTATTACTAGATTTGATTAGTGCAATAGTGTCAGTAGCTGTAGGACAAGAACACTTTATGGAAAGATTCCTATTTATTGATATGGTAGAGATAATTATATGTAGGTACTGTAGGTGACATAAAATTTTGTTTAAAGTCGATGTCATAATTTTCGTATTACTCCGTGGACCCTCAGAAAGTACTCTGTGGATGCCCTGGGCCAGATTGGGAACCTGTCTTAAAGGATATAGTCTATAGAGAGAGGGGAGAATGCCTAAAAAAAATATATATATATATATATTTTTTCTCTCTCTCAGCTGTATTCCAAATGTATGTTGTTATTAGTACATTTACGTATAGCAAGTCTTCATTTTATTTTTTCATTATCCTACAGATGTGATGGTTTTTGAAGATGCTGGGTCTCTAGGATCAGCTGTTTCAGGACAGCAGTCACCCGAACCTGCTGATCAGTCCAAATCCTCCGCAGAAGATGCAGGGGTTGGCGGGGGAAGCTCCAGTGGTGGCGTCTTAGCTGGAGGTACTGTGGTTGTCACAAAGTCGGGTAGGAAAGAAACTGGTAAAAAGTTTTTAAGGGAGCGTGCTTCCATGTTTTCTATGTCCAGGGTTACCCTAAGGTCTCCCTCAGTGACCACAGCAGGAAGTGGTGGAGGTGGGGGGCAAGGGGGGGATAACGGCAGGGTCACGGTCAGTCCTCCCTCCACACCCACCAACATCACACAGGATCCCAGTCACTCTCCAGAAATTAAAACAGCTGGGGCTTCCGTGTGCACACCTCCCACAAGAGGTAGCAACAACTCTAGCACTAGCAACAGCAAACCGTCCCGTCGCACCACCTCTCTCCTCAACCTCTTTGTGGCGTCCACTTCTTTCACTGGTATGTGGTTGTTCCGTGTGCTCTGTGTTACTGGCTCTGTGGCAATATGTAGTGTTTTAATTCTTCCTTTCTCTTTCAGGCAGCTTTTCACATGCTATCACATGATCACCTGAATATAATAAGCTTTATAGACTGCTGCTCTGATTCATTTTGTCATTTGTATTTCCCCCCTACAGGATTTTTGTTTTTTAGACAGAGGATGTAGATTCCTTTCAATAACAATAAATGGCAGTGTCAGTCCTTGACATTGGAATGTCTCAGTATAGTATAAGATAGCAGGTAATTGGGCTATAAAATAGACATGATAACATGTTTAAGACTCTGCAGGCTGTATGCAGAATAAAGAGATTGCTATTGTAATGTGACTAACTTGATTGACCAGGGAAGTGATTTTTGCAAAATAAAGGGAATGCAGCTACTTTGTAATTAAATACATACAGTTTAATTCCTGAAGTTCTAGGTTAGATATAATCATTGCTTTTGTATGAGGTTTACCCCAGTTAGTGCATGGCATATTGAAGCAGAATAAATATTTTAATGATTAAATTGCCAGAAACATAAATGATTTACAAAAATCTCTTCTCTGTTAAAACCTGTTTTAAAGTATGGCTCTTCATTAAGAAGATAATATAGTCAAGATGGGATTACTGGTATTTAGGGGTATTTGAGGCTGATTGTATTACTAATTAGCCAAAATACTGTGAATGATTTCCATATAGATTTCAATAGAAAACCTGGTACAGAAGTCATCTTGCTTTGGTGCCATCCATTCTAAAGCCCTTACTGAAAGCAACTGCCAAGTAAAGACTCATCGCTTGAAAGTGAAGTATTGGCCTATCTGAAACAAATGGGAAACCTTAACTGGAGCCTCTGTCATAAGTTAAATTAGACTGTGAATAAATTAATAGGGATAATTAAAGATGACGTTCAGTTTGGATGATGAAGGGAATTTGGGAATTGATTGCATAAATTCCTTGTTTGGTATTAAATTTATTTGAGTTATGATATATTGAAATAATGTGAAATACATCACAGGGTTCTGATGAAGCATATGAAGCTTATAGGCATATGAGAGCCTTGATTTACTGTGGGTATGATTGCTACTGATAATATTTTGAATTGATATCCTATTTCCTTAAATTTAGAGCTGATTATATACTTCAGGTATTTTGCTTTTTGTTAAGTCATCTGTTTAATTGTTCTTGTCAGTTCTTTTCAAGTTATTTGTCATTTTTAGTATTTTATGTATTTGTTTACTTTCAATATTTTTAGAAAAATGTGTCATTGTTACAGTTTGGGCCAATCCTTTAGTAGCCATGTTAGTTGAGGTAAATTCTCTACAGAATGGGAAAGCATTGTAATGTTAATGTTAGTAATGGTTTAGAATGATTAATTGTTACCCAAGAAGACTTGACTGAAGCTAGTGTGACTAATGTTTGTCTCTGTATGGGTTAATATGACCTTCCAGGTCGAAGTGAACGTGAGTGGTCTGCTCCCCCCAGCTGTAATTCAGGTGGGGGGGAAGGTAGCCAGGATGGGGATGGGGGTGAGAGGGTCACCGAGAGCCTCCCCCCTTCCCCAGCCAAGGCTCCTCCTGCACGTGTAACCAGTGCCCCCACCAGCCCTACTGCAGCGGACGATCCAAGCCTGGCCCGCAGTGTATTCCGCTCCTCAAAGTGTAGGGTTAACCTGCCTCTTTGTGCTATATCTTTGCTCTTATTAGTGGTCTTTTTAGACCTTGTGATTGATGATTGTTTGATGGAAAGTTTAAGTGATTGGACCTTTCTTCACTTGTGTGTATGAATGTTAAAACAAAATTGAGAATAGGATTGATTAAACTATTGATTGCTGACAGCATTTAATGATTTTACAATGATGAGGTCCTTTGCCATTGCCTGAATCAATCATCTATCACAAGTGATAATAAAATGTTTGTGGTTATTGATGGCTCTTATACATAGTTTTGTTCATTACTGTTAACAGTGATAAACAAAACAAACTGATCATTCATTAATGACCAATAGATATTCAGTAATAAGTTGTCATGATATAGAAATTCTATGAAAGTCATCAATTGATCACATGTAATATAGTCGTCCCACCTTAGATGCAGTGTTGGGAGGTGATAAAATTTTCATTTTTTTTTTTCTTTTCTTTCTGTCATCAGATACGGTAATGATATCCTGAGCTTCATATATTAATGGTCTTCATGGAATTAACTGAAAATTTTATCATTTTGATTAGACTCTTTTGTTATGCTTTCTTGCTTTAAAGGGTGCCTTGGTGGAGGTAAATGTTTAATACAATGGTAAAAGCCTTTGCTGTAGTTCCTGATATGCATAACTGACATTTTATTCACACTTCCAGAATAGCAGGGATACAAACTTAACTAAATCAACTTGGTGGTTTGCTTAGTGGATGCAGTGCATATATATACCCTATGTGTGTGAAAATTTTTGGGGACCTCCAGCACTATTGGCTGTCTGAAGCTTTGTGACTTTCATTCTTCATGCAGTCAGACCCAGCAGTTTTAATATCACTTGATTATGTCAGAGTCAGGGCTTGGTTTCATCAGTGTTAACTGATGCTGTGGGGCCTCTGGTTTGAGGGTGTGTGTGTGTGTGTGTGTGTGTGCATGCGTGCGTGCGTGCGTGCGTGTGTGCGTGCGTGTGTGCGTGTGCTTGTGCGTGTGCGTGCGTGCACTTGTGTGCATGTTTCTGTTTAGTTGTAAGAATAATCCTCTATCTTGTGTATGTTTTAACCCAAAGCTGACAGGCATGGGATGTACATACATGCCATACCCACTGTGATTTTAATTAATTAATTGTTTTTGCACATATATGTCTACACTTGTACTAAGTCACCAATGAGCCAATTACAAGTACTGCCTGTCTTGCCTGTTTACTCTTTTCCTTGATTTTCAAGAATATTTTATGTTATCTTATATTACTGTTACTAATAGTAATTATAATGTCTGTGATAAAAATACCACCATTGATATTCATAGCATTAGCCAAAAAAGTTTTTTCCCCGCATTTCACAAATATTTCTAAAATGGGCACAGCATTTTCCTTTTGACATTGAGTTAACCCTTAGCCACCAGGTGGTATGTATGTACATGCCATGACATGCCTGGACTATGTTCTGGGTGGCATAGGCATAGATTTATGGTGTGCCAATCCCATTTTCCTGGGGCATGTATGGTTATGCCACATGTGCTAGGGTGATGATACGGGCCATAACCTGTGAGAGAGGGCTTGCGTATTGGGAAATCACCCATCGGCATTGGGTTAAACAATATTGAGTAAAGGTTTAGTTGATTTTTTGGTAGATTATGTTAAACTGGTGTTTATATGATTTATGTTATTAAAAGGTAGGGTTTAGGGACAGGGTTGAGGGATATTTTTTCTATCATCTTTCCTCTTCTCTCCTCTCCTTTCCATTCCTCTTTTCTCAGCTGTCATATGTTCTTATGTTTGTAAAGGATTTAGTTTGTAATGATAGTGTAAAGTAAAGAAGGCTTATCTTAGCCTTAGTGGGAGGTTATGCAATGATTCTTGTGCTGGTGCCATGGAGTTGCACTTTAACAGGATATGAATTTTCTTTTGGGGAAAGGCTTTGTTCTTTGGGAAGAGAAGCATCACCATACCAAGTAGTGGTATGGTGTACAAGAGCCAAGATCTTGATAGCCGTTCAGTGTTTAGATTTGTGATGCTGAAGGAGTTGCCAGCCAAGTTGCAGAGGATAATAAATATCAAACGGATAGTCCTGGCAATAGGTTTGGTGCCTAGCAAAGAAAATACTTAAGGGCAGTAGTGGCATATAAAGACTAAGAACAACCTACATTATTTTAACAGGTTGAGGCCAGGAGGACATTTATATATGGGCCTAGTCCACTGAGGTTTTAGCTGAATTAGTTTGTACATATAGATGGCTCCACAGGCAGTTAGTAACCAAGGAGTCAGTTTACTAGGCCTTCCTAATTTTACCTATTATCATTTTCCTTATTTTTTTTGAAAGATGTATAATGCTATTAGTATTGTTAACAACATTAAAATAATTATCAATTATAATGATGATAGTAGTACCATAGTAATAATGATAATGATAGTATTGATGATGATGATGATAATGATGATGATTATAAATGATGATGATAATGATAATGATAAATAATGATGATATTATGATAGTAATAATATATAATAATTTTTATTAATAATGATAATGATAATGATGATAATGATGATAAATAATAATAAATAATAATAACAGTAATGATGAGAAAAGTATTAGAAAAAAATCCCCAAAATTCAAAGAATGGGGTAATCAGTTAAGATCAGGTAGCCCTAGTAATTGACTCTGGTGATTAAACACTTGATGGAGCTATTTGTTAAAACAAATTTCACATCTGTAGTGGACAGTGCTTCCATCAGTTGGTTAAAGTTTCACCCTCTCCCTGTCTGTTCTCTCTTTCTCTCTCTCTTCCTCTCCGTCTCCCTCTTCCTGTCTCTCTCCCTTTCCCTCTCCCTCTCCTTCTCCTTCTCCCTCTCCCTCTCCCTCTCCCTCAACAGTATTTTGCCTTATGAAAAATGAGACTTGAAAATGTGTGTTGCACCATATGCTATGCATGACGGTTTTAGTGTGGAAGAGAATGCAAGTTTGTGTGTGTGTGGGTAAGAAAAATGTGATTTTTTTTTTTTTTTTCTTAGATTATTTGGTAAGTTGAGATTTCTATAGTCATTCAGTAACTGCTGGTTCTGACTGTAAGTTGTGGAATTACTTCAGAGTTGTCTGGTGTGACTGTATTTCCACAAAGTGCACATTGCTCAGGACTGCCTGCCTTTAATTGGTGACTTGCCTAAAAGCTGCCTTTACGAATTTCTAAACATCAAGTTCATATATAACTTCAGTTGTCTGAAAAATATCAAGGTCATTTGTCAAAACTTAAAACTTTTGAATGATAAATTCCTAAAGTTCACATTCCCGTTATTAATACTTAAATTTTTTGTCATGCCCAATTTACTTTTGGATTATCCACAATTTATTTAAATGAGAAGAAATTACATGTTGTAGATTTCTGACGTTATCTGCACTTCTCTCTGGTGCTTCACACTGCTATAGAATAGCTCTTTAAATTTTTAGTGTATTTATGCATTTTGTCTCTTTTTGTTTTGCACTCGGTGTTGTTTAGTGCATTTTAGTTTCCTAAAGTGTTTTTATTATAATCATGCTTATTTTTTTTTTTTATTATGGTTTACTTTGGGATGGGATTTCTAAGAATTTGAATTATTTTTTTAACAGTTTTAGAAAAGTAAGGGAAGAGTATTAGACCCGTTAAAATTCATCACATGATCTGTAGTAAAGAAAGTTGATTTTGTCTCCTTTACTAGGCCTGTTAGTGAAACACTGTAATCTTCAGCTCTTCAGTATTTTCAAAGCTTGATCTTCCTTTCTTTCGAAGTTCATTGCCTCGTACATTGATATTTTTACCCTAGATCATGTATAGTTAGTTGTATTAAGGGCATGGCTAAGAGACTGCTCTTTGTACATTATTCGTATTAAAAGTCTTATGCATTGTTCACTTTCGGTAACAACATATGCAGTAAATAGATAATTTTGTCTCCTTATTTTCTTTATTACTTTTTTCTCCTTTTTTTGACATACATGGTTTGGATGTTTATGACACATTATTTAGATAACTTGGAAATGGTAATGAAAATTATTACAGGAGTATAGGGTCTGATTTTGCTTAAGAAATGTATTTTATATATATTTTTGTGTGTGTGTGTCTTTATATATAATATGTATGTATATGTGTGTGTGTGTGTGTGTGTGTGTGTGTGTGTGTGTGTGTGTGTGTGTGTGTGTGTGTGTGTGTGTGTGTGTGTGTGTGTGTGTGTGTGTACATACACATATATGTATATATATCAATATGAAATATGTTTTATATATATATATGATATGATATATATATAATGTGTATTATATATATTATATTTATAATACATTTATATATACACATATATACATATATATCTTATATATATGTGTATATATTTATATGTATAAATGTATATATGTATTATATATGTATATGTTTATATATATATGTATTTATATGTATACATATGTATATGTTTATATATATATGTATTTATATGTATACATA